TGTTATAATATATTATAAATTAAAATAGTTTTTTATAACTTAATATAATATTTTTTTAATAACTTTTAAAGTAAAAATAATTTTTATTTTTTTAATATATTTTCTAGAAGTAGTTATTAAATAATATATATACTAAGATAAAAAATAGTAAAACTTAATAAAGTAGTTTACTTACTTATCTAGCTTATTTATTTATTAATTATATTATTTATTTTATTATTAATATTATATAAAATAAAACTTAATTATTATAAATTTAATATTAAAATAATATAAAATAGAATTATTAAATTAGTTAAATAAATTTATTAATGTATATCTTTATTTATAATATTATAAAAAAAAACTTTAATTATTATAAGTTTAATTTTAAGATAATATAAAATAAATTTAAAAAAATCTTTTTTAATAAAAATATTAAATACTTATTTTTATTGTAAACTAATTATATATATTAACTATTAATTATTAAAGATAAATAGTTAATATTAAGTATTAATTAATAATTAGAAAAAAGAGAAGAAGAGAAGTTTATTAAAAACTTAGGCTTTATAGTTTATCTTCTTTATACTTAGCCTAAAGCTATTAAAGAGCTAAAGTAAGCTTATAAAGCTTATTTTATAATATTAATTTTTATTTCTTTTTCTTCTCTTTAAAAGAATTATTTATAATAATAATATTTATTTATAAGAGCTTATAATTAGTCTATAATAAGTAGTAGATATTAATATAGAAGAGTTATTAATTTAAGTTAAATATATATATTTATTAATAATGGTAAAAATATAATTCTTTATCTAAATTAACTAATATTTATAACTTTAAGTAATAGTAATAAAGGGGGGTTATAGTAGTTATAGTAGTAGGGATATATAAAATAGTTAAAATTATTAGATTTTTAAAAGATACTTCCTTTATATATTAACTATACTAAAAATTAGGATCTCTATAACTCTACTTATATCGTTACGTAAGGCTTGTCTATATAGTAAAAAAAGGTCGTCTATATAATATTACTCTTTTTAATAGATTGATAATAAGAATTAATAATCTTTATTAAATTTTTATTTTATAAGAAGAACTAATAACTTAAATAATTTATTATTATTATTTATTTAATAATGTATTTATATTTTAAGAGAATATAACTATATTAAGTATATAGCCTAAAGTACGTGATTCAGTGGGATTCAGGGATAAAAGCAGGAATACTACTTACGACCCACTGTAGGCTTAAACGTGGCGAGACACTGCAAAAGAAAATCGGAAAGGATAAGCCATTTTTGATCTCTACCCAAGCGTCGGATTTTAACAAAGCCAAATTTATTACACAGTTAATTCTATTGGCTAGCCTTGATATATCCCATGATGTCTCCTCGCCCAATTCAGAGCTTTGCCAAGGCAGCAACACAGTGCAGCGCAGAAGTTTGTGCCCGGCTCTGGAACCACTCGCCAACGCCACTGACTATGACACAGGCAGCTGCATACGGCAAGTGTATTGTCGCTGATTATACTGCCGTCGAAAAGGACAAATGCGCGAGGGAGTTCATGAGATTGAAGAACTGCTACATGGTTCGTCACACTTGCAGATCAAAGGGTGGGTAGAAGCTGACAGACCTGTTTGTAGCGCGCTGCCAGAAAAGGTAAATAGAAGCAAATGAAGTAGTAGTGATCTCTTTTGGGTCGATTGCTGGCGCGAGCCAGTGTTGCTATCAAGAGAAGCTAATCGACTACTCTAAAGCTTAAGCAATCTCAAAATCCAAGTGGCCTTCTGGATCTCCTGCTCTTCTTCAGCGATTGCTTCGCCTGTGACCCCAACCACATGCTTTTCCAGTGGTCTGCGGAGAACCTTCTCAAAGGCAGCAGATTGTGTAACAAGGACTTCCTCCAAGCCAATTGACTCTGGATCAGAAAGCATTTGATACTCCATCTTGACATCATCGGTTTGTTGCAGGCCTGCTTTTTTCCGGAGCTTCTGAACTCGGTTGATGACTTCGCGCGCAAGACCTTCTTGTGCCAAGCCCTCATAAACATGCACGTCCAAAAGGGTAAGCACATCGCTATCCGTATTAGTTTCCCACGTCTTGGCTGTCTCGTCCTCCTTGACACCTCTGCGAACTACTAGATCGCCCTCTTCCAGTTTGATTCCGTCCACCAGAATTTCTTTGTCACGTACGTATCCCTGACATTGTTCGCTTGTCAAGGAAGAAAGAGCTTTCTTTACTCGGGCCATATCCTTTTTGAGCTTCTTTCCAAGGACTGGCCAATCGGCGGTAACACTATACTGCACACCGTATTTGCCCTCATCGCTTGTGAGCACCAGATCTCGAATATTGAGTTCCTCGGTTATGTAATCTTCGAGAGACTTGGCGTCGTCAAGATACTGCTGGTCGTGGTGGAGGACCACCAATGTCTTGAGCGGTGTCTTTAAACCGATGCTTCGTCGTTCTCTAGAAACACGGGCAAGCTCGATGACTTTCTGCATTCTCGAGACACGACGCTCCACGTCAGAGTCAAACAATTCGCTTCTCACGTCAGGAAATCGAAGGAAGTGAACACTGCGAGGATCTTCTGCCTGAAGATTCTTTGGGATACGAGGTAGAAGTCGGCAGTAAATGTTGTCAGTTAAGAATGGTGTAAAAGGTGCCAGACCTCGGCAAAGTGTGAAGAGGACCTCGAAGAGCGCGTTAAGGGCGTGTTGCGTGTCATCTAGGCCGTTTTCGCCCTTGAGACGACGACGATTGAAGCGAATGTACCAGTTGGTTGTGTTATCGATCAACTCTAGCAATCGGGGAACGACGGTGTACAGGCGGTACCCTGGTAGACGTGTGAGAATATGAGTAGGATTAGCACCAGCATTGTTTACTGACCTTTCATTTCCCTGTTGACAAATTGAAGAAGGCTCTGGCAACTTGCCAGAATCCAGCGGTCCATGACGTTAGTGTTTGTACTCTCCAAGTCAGGGTTCCACATGTAATCGGCTCCTTCCACCTTCTTGAGAAGTGCAACTTGGCCCTCAAAGAACTTGTAACTGTTCCAAAGAGGAAGCAAAACCTTTTGGACTACTTCTTTGACGCCCGACTCCTTAAATCGAAGGGGCTCGGCTCGAACGACGGGCGAATTAATTAGGTACAAGCGCAGGGCATCTGAACCGTATTTCTGCATAACGATCGATGGGTCCGGATAATTTTTCAGACGTTTCGACATCTTTTTTCCATCTTCGGCCAGGACAATTCCATTCACGACACAATTCTGGAAGGGCGATTTGCCGAAGAGATGCGTGCCTAAGACCAGTAGCGTGTAGAACCATCCACGGGTTTGGTCTAAGCCCTCAGCGATAAAGTTTCCAGGGAATGATGCGTTGAACTTGTCCACGTTTTCAAATGGGTAGTGCTGGCTGGCATACGGCATGCTGCCAGATTCAAACCAGCAGTCAAAGACTTCGTCGACACGTCTCAGCACGCCCTTGCCTAATTGACTGGGTATCGTGATATGATCGATCTTGTCGCGGTGTAGGTCGGTGATTTCGCCCTTGTGTCCGCTGAGCCTACGTAGCTCCTCCACACTTCCAATACACACTCGCTCCTCGAGATCGTCACTGACCCACAGAGGGATAGGAGTGCCCCAATATCTGTTTCTGCCCACATTCCAGTCACGAGCATTAGCAATCCAGCTGGCAAAGCGCTTCTCTTTAACGAAGCTAGGGACCCAGTGCGAGCCCTCAATATTCTTGAGCATGTCGGGAACGATCTCGGGTATGCGAATAAACCATGACGGAACTGCTCTGTAAATGAGCGGGGTGTCCGATCGAGGGCACATTGGGTAGGAGTGCCTGATCTGAGACTCGACAACTAAACGACCAGAGTTCTTGAGGTACTTGATGATATGCTTGTCTGCTTCTTTGACATGCATTCCAGCAAAGTCTCTCACACGATCGGTGAAATGAGCGGTGTCGTTGATTGGGTCTGGTGGCGGGCGCTTCTCGGAAATGATGCCAGCCTCAAGAGCAATGTTGTAATCATCCTCACCGTACGCAGGTGCCTGGTGAACAATACCAACACCACTATCAGCAGTAACATAAGTAGCATTCAGAACACGGAACCCCTTATCCTTGAATTCTTCGTAGAAGTATTCAAATAAGGGCTCATATCGCCAGCCTAGCATGTCCTTGCCCTTGATCTTTTCAATAATTTTGAAGTCGGCCTTCTTGGGATCCTTGTAGAGAGTAGCCAACAACTTCTCTAGAAGAATATAAATCTTTCCAGACTGCCCATCTTGAATTTTGATATACTCAAAGTCGGGATGCGCTGCTAGGCCGGTGTGTGAAGGGAGTGTCCATGGTGTAGTCGTCCAAGCCAGGAGGTTGACGTTCGGATCGTCAAGTAGGGGAAAAGAAACAACAACAGCAGGATCTGTCACATCCTGGTAGTTTTGATTGGCTTCAAAGTTACTCAGTGCAGTCGTAAGCACCGTCGAGTATGGCATGACTCGATAGCCCTGGTACACGCTTCCCTTTTCGAACAGCTGCTTGAAAACCCACCAAAGTGTCTCCATAAATGAAGAATCCATGGTCTATCGAAAACTGTTAGCTGGAACCATCGTTTTCCTAACTCATCTTCAAGCGCTTTCATACCTTATAATCGTTGTCAAAGTCAATCCAGCGCCCCAATCGCTCTATGGTAGCCCTCCATTCGGTGGCGTAGCGCATGACAATCGCCCGGCATTCTTCGTTGTACTTTCCGATACCAAGCTCAGTTACTGCAGCTTTACCAGAGATCCCTAACTTCTTGTCGATCTCGTGTTCGATGGGGAGGCCATGAGTATCCCAGCCAAAGCGTCGTTCGACATGGTATCCCTTCATTGCCCAATAACGAGGAATTATGTCCTTGATAGTCGAGGCAAGAAGATGGCCAAAGTGAGGTAGCCCAGTGGCGAATGGAGGTCCGTCGTAGAAAGTGTATCGCGGGAGATCAGCCGTCAGCTCAAGCTGCAGGAAACCCGATTAGCTTCACAGTGATTAACCTTTTTTTTTGGGCGAGTGTGTGTGACTGACCTGGCGGTGGAAAGCATCCATCTCTCTCCATTTCTCGAGAACGGCCTCCTCCTCTTTTGGGAAGTCAATCGACATGGTCAGAACTTGACAAGATGAGTTTTTTCTTCGTCGTCAGTCTTCCGCCGTATGCAGTCAATGGAATTTTCTCAAGAACCCCAAATTTTTTGGGACAAGTAATTATACGAATCTCGATTAACAGCCTTCAGTTGAATCTGATCATAGAATAGATAGAACGGAGTGCAAAGACTAGAGGAATGGGCGAGACACGCAGAACGAGTTGGAAGATCATGAAGGATGAGTCAACCACAAGATCCCATTTCACAACGGGTGGGTGGGGTTCTACAAGTAACTAGCAGGTAGGTATCTATCGGCTATAAACCATTGATAGTGTAAGGAGGGTGGAGTCATACCTTGAAAAGTTCTGGGCGCACAGCTACGCCCACTGTAGGCTAAGTAAGCTCAGAGCGGGGCAACTGGATGCTGGGATCCTGGAATAACATACAGCTGCCTGATCGCTATGAACAACGGGAAACGTTCTCGTTATCGGCATTTTTAAGCCAGCAAATACCAAATTTGATCATGAGATATGCTTTTGTGAGTGCACAACGTCTGAAGATCTTTATTACCTCTCACGATCGTACTGACCACGTGCAAATACCTACCAAGGCAACTATTAAGCGAGGTCAGCGTCTGGTGCTAATAAGTCGAATATTACCTACCTACCTACCTATAGTAAGATTCTAAAAGTCTATTACTATAATAAGATTAAAGACTTAATTTTTAAATATTTTTTTACTAGTAATATTAAAAATCTAATAAGACTTAATATATACTTAAATAATTAATATTTATATTTACCTTTATAATATAGTAGTTATATATTAAGGAGTTCTATATAAGTAGATATATAAATTATAGGTTTAAATCTTATTAAAGATACCTCTTTTTAATTCTCTACTAGTCTATCTTTAAAAAGTCTAGTATATTAAAAGTAATATTATAAAGAATTAAACTTCTACTAAAGATATTATTTTTATATAACTTCTCTAGGTATAATAATAGCTTATTCTTAATCTATAATTAATCTATTTCTTAGACCCCTATAGTACTTCTAATACTACTAATATAAATATATTAGAAAACTCTATAAAAATAAAAAAAGATATAAAAGATATATATACTAATTTTATAATAAAACTAAGCTATATCTAATAAAGAGATATTATATAAATAATACCTAAACTATAAAAGTTACTACCTAATATAATCGTAAGTATATTTTATAATATAGTAATATTAAAGCTAGGCTTAAAAAGTTTACCTCTTTTACTTAACTAAATTTAAAGTATATTAATAATAACCTAAAAAACTATTAAGGTCCTTAAAAATATCTTCTTTTCTAAAAAGAATAAGTAATAAGTAGTAATTAAGAGGATACCTACTTAAAGCTAGCTTTACCTTATCTTAAAGACTTTATATTATCTAGTTAAATATATTTAATTTTAATAATACTAGAATTATAATACTTAAGTTAATAATATTTATAAGGATTTTATAATAAGACCTCTTTACTTTTAATCTTATTTTAGCTTTTTCTTATATACTATTATCTAAACCCTAAAGAATACCTGTTTTTTTAATATTAAACTCCTTAATAATAACTAACTTAATTATATTTTAAGATATTATTATATAAAACCTAGCTTTATTTAAATAAATAAATAAAGATTTTTATATAAAATTTTTATAATAATAATAATAATATTTAATATAGTTAATAAGTAAGTTATATAAATAAGTAAGTTATATACTTT